TTTTATTTTGTACTATTTTCAGAATGTCATGGAAACTATAATCTTCTTTTGTTGGGACAAGAGAAGACTTGGTTTTTCTTGATGGGGTTTTAGACATGTTGATGTATTGGACTAAGGCTTCTCTTTTAGCCTCTGGATCTGATATTTTGTCAATAAGGTCTATGATCAGATCTTCTTGTTTTGTAAGGGTATTGATACTTAACCCATTCATATTCATTATTGCCTTGTAAAAATCACATTAGCAATTCTCTTCTTTTGGATTATCTTCATCACCAGAGTCTGAATCAGAACTACTGATAATGATATCTTCATCATTTCTTCAATTAATATTTCTTCTTTTGAATCAGAAGAATCAGAGGTTTCATCTTTTATCAGGGTATTTCAAATAATTGAGTTTTAATATTATCGTCTATTTTTAGAGAGTTAATCTTTATTTTAACTCTACATTTATTTTTGTAATTGCCTATTTTGCCACAATTATAACAAGCAGGAATTTTCCATTTTGCCCTTATCTTTAAAGGATGGTTTATTTTGTAATAATTTTCTGGAAATTTTTCCTTTGTCTTTGAAGAACGTCTAAATTTTTCCTTTCTAAATTTTTCATGCTTTTCTTTATGAAAGGGCTTTGAAGGGGATAAGATATTATAACCAAATTATTCGCATAAATCCCTTAACTCATTTCTCCCCGTTATTCTCTGTTCCTCTAATTGTCTTTTAAGTTTTAAGTCTGTACATAAAATCAGACCTTCAGCACAGATTTCGGCTGATAATTCTCCTAGTGTATACAGAGAATAAGGAATAATTCCACCATGCTTATTTTTAAACCTTGTTTTTACCTTTCTACAAAAAAGTGTGGTAGACCAGCTATAAATTTTTCTTTCCAATGATCTGATTTACTATCCTCTCTTACTAGTAATTTTGAGAAAAATATATCTTTATACTATTTATAATAAGAGAGTGTAGGACATCTTAGATTTGATAGCAAATCTTCAGATCTTGCTGCCAACAAAGTAGTACTTCCTACAAAATAGAGGGTAATAGTATATATCAACGTATTGATTGCATCTCCTTCTTGTACAATATTGTCTTGGCCATTTTCACTTTTGACTATCCATTGTTTTGAGGCATTTAATATTTGATTTTTTTATTCCTCATCCATATGAAAATCCCACAAGTCTCTTAGCCATCCTGTGAATCCACATATTATGGCTTTGGTTATCTCATAGTCTTGATTTTCACTTGTCTTGCAGGCAGTGCCATACATGGTCATGTGTTTCATGAGATCTAAGAGTTGATTTTCAGCCATGCCATCTATGTTCCAGTTTACTATAGATTTTCCTGAATAAGAGACCGAGGTAGATATAAGATCTTCTTCTATCTGTAGATCTATTGGGGCAGATCTAGGATAGTACATTCGGGTTTGGGACACTGGTCTTACTTTTCTCCCATAATCAATTCTATTGATGTCTAAGCTTTCAATTTTGAAAACTTTCTCCATATCAGAAATTTCTTTGTCATGTGCCTTATGTAGGACTTGAACATCAGCTTCCTTAGTTTTGAAATGCTGGCCCTTTTCTTTTTCATTGATATTTAACATTTTCAATATTTTAATCAATTCATCTATTAATTCACTATTTTCCTCTTTTTTCTTTATTCCTTGCAGGCTAAATTTTCTTGTTTCAATAGTTGGAGGAGGTTTGAATAAGACAGCTTCTTTTTGCTTATCAAAACTTTTGGCTTCTGGAGTTGGTTTTAATTTATTTCTATTCTTGTAGTTTGCTTTCCTATTGTTTGGAGGAAAATATTTGTATAATTATTCTGTTCAATAATGTGAGGCATTCCTTTAAGCTTAGTCATATTATGGTCACTTTCTTAGGTCTTATTTTGAAAGGTGAGGCTTTAATTTCAATTTTCTCCCCAAACTTTTCTCCTTTGAGTTGTAAGCTAGTCTCAGGGGGATGAATGGACTCAATTGTTTCTTCTTTGGTAGTTTGAAAGTTTTGAAAAGATTTTTCAACCATATTTACCTCAAATTTTGGAATTTTTATTACGTAATCTTTTGCTCTATATTTTAACCATTTAAAAAATTTGACAGTTGCCTTATGTTTCATCATGAACCTATTAAATTTTAAAGGGAAGGCATCTCGTAGAGGTTCTTTAAACTCTTTGAAGAACCGTTGTCTTATAAGTCTATTTTCTTCAGAGTAGAAATCTTTTCTGATCCATTCTTTATCAATCTTGAATTATTCCTTTTGAATAACACATACTTCAAAGTCAAGATCTGAGAGTGTTGGTTCATGTTCTTCTATTTCAGAGGAACCTGGAGTGTCTACTCTATAGACTGGTTATTGAACTTGATTTGGAGTCCTATTAAGTCTTTCAATAATAGTTCTCCTATGAGTGGGTATTCTTTCATATTCGGATTGCGGGACAGAAGAGGCCGAGCTTCTAGGGGGATCCCTAATGCTTGGTACTCCAATCTTTAATGTAGTTCTTCTGGAAGATGGACAACAGATCTCTATCTCTCCATCAGAGTATTCTATGATTTGTTCAGGGTCTCTATTTTTAGGATTTTTAATCTGGGATTCAGATTGTAAAGACCAACGCTCTGGTAGTTTTACCTGAGACCAAGCCACTGACTTTGGTATAACTAAATTTGATTAATATGGTTTGTCCTTTTAGATCCATTTGCCTAGCATTTGGACACAAAGTATTCATCACTTTGTAACATATTTTGTAAACAAATACCAAATTTTGAGAACCTAGATCCATATCAAAAATTTGAGTTTTAAGGTTTCGGGTCAGGGCTTTTAATAAATTTGGGTCTGTTAAGGCCACCGAGAAATTCTGAAAACAATTAAAATAGATGGGGTCATTATAAAGACTGGATTCAACTATTCCTAACAAGGAATCAGTGAACCTTTTGTTTCTACTATCTCTCAAACATAGTAGAACAGAATTATTTAATTATGTCCTTGTTAACGGTTTGAGAGCTATTTGTACCAAACTAATATGCAAATATTTGTAGTATTTCCTTTTATGATCTTCGATCATCCTTGGGGAAAGCAATTAGAATTTATCCTGAGTTTCTATTACAGAAATACTTTTTTCGATGGTTTTGATAGAAAAACTATTTTTCAAATCAAAAGTTCCCTTACTATAAACATCTGTTGTAGGTACCTTAGATATATTCTAATTTTGGATTTGTTTTTCTATATTATCTATTATTACTTCTTCTTTATTATTAACACGTAATGTATTATTAGTAGTAGTTGACTTATTTAATAAGGTTCTAATGAAATTTGTCATTGTAGTTCGAGTCAACTGGAAACAATCTCTACACTTTTCCTGGCCTTAGTGATCTTTGGGTCACAGCGACTTTGAATTACTACTGTAGATTTTTTAGAATTTTATTTAATAGTTCAGTTTTCTCCTAAGAATACAGTTAAACAATTGTAACATATATATATAGGGTTTTGTTAGGCTACACCACTTTGTGGTGTAGACCCTTAAAGTGCTCAACATTTTTTGACACTAAAATACCTTTGAATTATAAATTTTTTTAAGTAGGGGCATTTTTGGTCATTTAGAAGGATAAAATGGATATTTTATAAAAAAATAGTGACATTCTATTAGTAGTTAAAAACAATTAATGTATCTTGCGGGTAATGTCACACACCATATCGGTGATGTCATTGTCTACTATCGTTAATAAATATTTTTGTTTCTATTAGGAATTTTTAGTTTACCCTTGGTTAATTACTTAAAATACCCTAAACAAAAAGTTACTAGATTATAGGATAATGGTATCTAAATGTCTAAAAATGTTG